AAGCACATAATTGAATTAAACACTTAGCACATAACACAAATAAACACTTAGAAAAATTAAATAAAACGATGGTGCAAAAGAAGAAATAAGAATCGAGATTTACACCAAGTCGAGAAATGGAACGAAATGAAATGAAAGCTTATTAAAAGAAAGCGGGGCGCTACAATCTACCCTCCTTAAACGATTTCCGTCCTCGAAAATCTAAAACTAATCTCAAAACTAACTCAAGATCTTCGAACAAAATTCTCAAATGCTCTTGTGGCTCAACTTCTTCGTGATGAACAAAGACGTCATTTAGAAGCACGGCGGGTAAATGGTCCCTTCAAAATACGCTGACATTCAACCAACTGAGAGATTAAGTCCCAATTATCGGCTTAGGTACTTAAGGAACACACTCCATTAACTTCACAAATGAAAACAATTAGCAAACAAGTAGAAACAACGAAGGCACTCGGTTTTATAATCGAAGAAGAAGAATACAAGGTTCCAAACACAAATACTCAAATCCGAAACTCCAAACAAAGAATAAAGAAGAACAATAATTTCAAGAGATTGCAAATAAACAGGACTAGACGACTACTTCCAATAATCTTTGCCCCTCCCCTCGCAGATCAATCTTGGTTCGGGTCGTCCTCATTCTTGGCCAACATGTAGACACGTGCCCTTCCTCCTCCTCCAAGTCTTAGTTGGTCCTGCTGAGGCTGTTGTTGTGGCTGTTGGTTTGGTGGTTGACCGCGCTCTGGACACTGCTTAGTGAAATGTCCCGGCTTCTTGCAGTAGTAGAAAATCTGTTGGCCTGCCAAGCACACTCCTCCATGAGCTCTGCCACAGTTACCACACTGCGGCGGCCCATCAGGCACTTGGCGGATAGGCTGAACATTTTGGATAGGAGGGTGATCGCCACGTCCATCTGCTCCTACACGCTTGTTCCGTTGTTGGTCACGTCGATCATCACGCTTCCTCTTGCTCAAGTCGGAAGGTGGCTGAGTAACGATAGCTGACTGAGTAGGCCGGGCATGATAATAGGAAGGGACAGGGGCAACCGGGGTCATGCAACTCTCAACCTGCTGGGCCCGGATAACAGTCTCTGCAAATGGAAGGTCTCCGTGACTAGCCACCAAAACACGAATGTCCTGGCGAAGCCCGTCTCTGAACTTGCGGGCCTTTCTCTCCTCAGTGTCAACCATGTGTCGGGCAAAGGCACTCAAACGGGTGAAAGCCCGAGCATACTCATCGACTGTAGAGGCATCCTGCTTAAGGTCATAGAACTCTCGCTCCTTCCGGTCACGATAGCTCTTGGGAAAGTATTTGTCTGTAACAATCTCCTTCATCCTCACCCAAGTGAGGGCAGTCCGCTCAGCCTCCGGCCTCAGAAGCCAATAGTCAATCCACCAATCGGCGGCATCACCCTCCATTTGGTATTCGGCACACTCAATGCGCTGAGCATCTGAGCATCGGAGAACGGTAAAGATCCTTTCCAATTTACGGAGCCACTCCGTCAAAGCTGCTGGTCCCTCCACTCCTGAAAAGGTGGGAGGATTCATGTTTTGAAACCGCTCAATCGTACGACCGTGATCTTCACCCTGAGCGGGTGGAGCCTGCTGATGCTGAGGATCTCTACGAGGACCCATATCTATATGTGTAACGCCTCGTTTTATGAATAAGAAAATAAGACCATTTGCATTTCATTTTTAGCTCGACTTTGCATTTAAAACACTTAATCCATTTTTTTTTTTTGTAGATGTCCTCGTCTACTTAATTTTCGTAAATGCTTATTTGTTTATTAAATTGCTTAATTGTTTTTCCTATATGTATAATTGTTTAAGTGCTTAGTTGCTAAATTTCTTATATTTTATTTTGCTCCTAGATTTAACTAAGCAAGCATGCCAAGTTTTTCTAAAATTTTATTAAGCTAAGCCCGGCCATTTATTTCTTAATCCTACCAATTTTTCATTAAATCCAAGTAGCAATTGGACCAAGTCTTTAAGCCTTTTTTTCCCCATGTTCCCAATTATCGTGGACAAACTCAACCTACCTTACCCCAACGGTCAGCAGTCTCCAAGCAAAGAAAAGGAGAATTGAATTAGTCTTAGCCACCTCCAACAATTCTCATAAAATTCGGCCTCACAGACCCCTCATATCTCCATAATATTTTTTTTTTGGAATTTAACTCTCATTCTCCACCTATTTAAAAGCCTCCAAATCCTTGAGCCGTCATTTTATTTTCCTCATCATCTCAGCCAACGAGAGAGATCCTTTTCAGCCCTCAAAATTCTCGAGCAAACCTTCAGCCACACGCCAGCACCGTCGAGATCGACCCGAGAGCCTTTAAGCCAACTGAGCCTCATTTTGCTCTTCTCTTTAAGTGCTTTTTCAAGGTAAAGGGGCTAAACCTTTTAACCTTAGTTTATGGCCGATCTTAAGAGCTTTAAATCAGTTTTTTTTAAATAGTAAAAAGACATGCTAAATTCTGTTAAAAGAGAAGAAAGAGGCATGACAATTGTGAGTATATGTGCATGCTTAGTTGCTGAAGTTTCATGATGAGTTTATCATACTGAAAATGGAGAATTTTCAGATTTTAGTTCAGTTTCTTGTGATCTTTTTGGGTGAATCTCTTGCTGTTATTATGTGCGAAATTCTGAATGTTAGGTGATCAATCATGACCTTTAAGTTTGAGAAGTTTTGGCCTAAGAAAAGAAAAGAAGAGAATGTTTTATTATGTGATTTTTAGGTGCTTGTTCAATGTCTTTCTGTTGAACTTTCATGTGTTTCATATGCTGCAATTAATTGATGTTTCAGACTGCTAATTTCAGTTTAAGACCAAGTCATGTGACTTAAGCAATTGAGGAAAGAATAAGAAGTGAAAAAGGCATGGTTATGAGTTTGTTGTGTGCTATTGCTTTGTCTTGTTGCTGTGACTTATATATGTAAATTATGGATGAGTTAGCATGCTGAATTTAGTCCATTTTTCAGAGCTTAATTTTCAGCTGTTAAGGTCATGTTAAGTATTGTCAATTAATAAGAAAATAAAATGATGAGGAATACGAATTTGAATTCATGATACATCAGCCTGTTCGATTCGATTTTTGCCCTGTCTAATGTGTTCCGAAAATTATGAAAATTTTTGTGTTGATCCATAATTATGTTGGGAACAATACTGTAAAATTTTAGATTATTTAGATTTGAAATGAACTTTATAAAAATGTTTCATCGAGATGCTGTCCGAAATGATTTCTGCGTAGTATTGATGATTTGTGACTTCGTTTTGCCCTATCCATGAATGACCTGCTATTTTACAGTTTTTATGGTAAATTCTTGTGCCTGTTGTGAGTCTTTGAGGACAAGAATCATTAATTTTGGACGTATACATCATGAGATATGAATTTTTGAAAATTATGTGTCATGCGAGTTCGAGAATGTTTGGTTTCAGCTGCAACTTGTGATCTCCATATCTCATGCCTCAATGACTGTTTTGACTTGAAATTTTTATGACATGTCTATCTATATTTTAAAAGTAAGCATGTTGAGTTTTAGCTGATTCTGTTGGATTTTGAGGAAATGAAAAATGTTAGACCGTCAACATGTAATTCTGCCCTTGGTAGTATTATATTTCAAATTGTGTTCATGCGATTGACCTGTAACTTCTATGTAAAATTCTTTCATGTGTCATAAGCATGCTGTTTAAGTTTTAGACTTCTTGATAAGGATGCGATTTTATAAAATTGTTTAAACGAGAGAAGTTAGAATTTTATGTGCACTTAACTACTTTTATTCGAACGAATTATGTTCTCTTATCTGATATATGTGCCTTATGTGTTTTAGTGTGTTGATCTGCATTTTAACCAAAATCCTAATAATAAGACTTAATAATCAAAATTCAGATTAAGAGGAGTCGAGCCCTCATTCAGACGCACGTGCATTTTCATCTAGTCAGTAAGTTCAAAAGGTGGGGATTTTCCATGCTATGTTCTAATTCTTAATAAACGCAAGGTATTTATAGCCGAGGTATGTTTATGAGTATTCGCCTATGAGTGGGCATTGCCCGCGAGTGGGTACATGGACAGGATCTCCCACCGTGTGGGTCAGCGTTCCCGGTGGTGATGTGTACACCCGAGATCGGTTTGCCGTGTCATGTGGGTTAGCGTTCCCGGCCGGTAAACCAACAGATGAGCCATGTTATGAGACCATGATTTACTTATTTATATACCAATGTTATCGGTACCTGTTTTTATCATGAATAATTGCGTAGTATGGAATATTGATGAGCACGTTGATTATTGCTCAGCCCCCACAATTATCATTTTCAGGTTAGCATGCCGGGCGGGACTCAAGAGGGGCTAGTGGTGGTCATATGCAGTTTATTTATTGCTTCCACTATTGAACAGTTTATTTTTCGAACCTATTACTGTCAGCTACGTTGTATAATGTTTGGATTCATGTTTCAGTTTTTCGATTCATTTATCAGACTAGTATCGATCGCTCTACTAGATCTTAATGAATTGAACATGTTTTATGTCGGGATCAGATATCCTAAAATGATTAAAAGCAGACATGATAGTAAAGCCAGATACATGTTTAGTAAGTACCCTCAAAGCATGTTTTAAAAAGTTAAATAATTTTCAGTAAAGTCAGATTTATTTTTAAAACTCTGATGATTTCAATGTATAAGTAGAGGGGGCTTACAGTTTGGTATCAGAGCGCAGTTAGCGTTTCTGAATACTTTTGAAAAATATGACCACTCGCCACCTTGAGCCGCTCCGGAACCCAGGTATGAGTTAGTAAGTCAGTCATAGCGCATGCATGTTTATTTGGGGCCTAGAACTTATCCTCCTTTAATTTTTGAGAACTCTAGTTAAGTTCAAATTTATGATTTGAGCTTTAATCAGTTATTTTAAATTCTTCTCGCGCATTATGTTCAGAAAATGCCTCCAAGACGTGACCCTCAGCAGCAGCAGCCCCGGGAGCAGAATCATGTCCGGGTTGTTGCTCAGTTCAGGAAGATGTCACCACCGGCTTTCACCGGAGAAGGGGGACCACTCTCAGTAGGCGACTGGTTCCTTAGGCTGGAGCTCATCTTTCTCTTGATGGCGTGTACCGAGGCCCAGAAGGTGGTCTGTGGGGAATACATGCTAGAGGGCGAAGCTGGACAGTGGTGGGAAGACTATTGGCGCCTAAAGCCAGTAGACGAGCGAGACGCTTTGACTTGGGCGCAACTCAAGGTGATCATCACGGAGAAGTACTATCCTCGTCATTTTCGTGACCAGATGGAGAGAGAGTTTATGAGCCTTAGTCAGGGGAACCGCACTGTGGCAGAATACGAGCGGGAGTTCTCCCGTTTGAGCGCATTTGCCCGACATCTAGTGGATACAGAAGAGAAGAAGGCCACTCGTTTCCTGTATGGCCTTAAACAAGACCTCCTCATGCTAATAGCCGGCCACGGATATCTGACTTATGCCGAGACAATTGAGAGGGCCCAGCGACTCGAGATGTGCCAGCAGATGGGGTCCCAGTCACTCTCCGTTCGACCCGCTGACATAGCCCAACCATCCAACAATGCCGGGAAGAGAAAGTGGATTGATGATCGCAAAGGGAAGGGCAAGAAGAACAGGCAAGACAACAGACCACCCCAAGCAACCCAACCAATCCAGCAGGTACAAGCCGACCGCCCACCGTGTGCTACCTGCGGCAAAGGACACAGGGGAGAGTGCTTAGCTGGCAAGAACATCTGCTTCAGGTGCAAGAGGCCGGGGCACATGGCTCAGAATTGCCTCGAGCACGGTCGGGATCAGCAGCAGCAGCCAGGACCAGGAGGTAGAGCCCGGGTGTTCGCATTGACCCAAAATGAGGCCGCAAATAATCAAGGTACTATGTATGGAATGCTTTCTGTGCATGGTATACCTGTATTCGCATTGTTTGATACCGGAGCAACGCACTCCTTTATTTCATCGAGTTGTTTGGAGGCGATCGGAGTCCAGAGTGTGAGTGCAGTCGATGCCCTAGAGGTTAGCCTAGCCTCGGGAAAGACGATTGTTACGAACTCTATAGTGCAGGAATTGAAGATGAACATCGGTGGACGAGATCTGGAGGCCGACACCTACGTCATCAACATGAAGGACTTTGACATTATTCTGGGGATGGACTGGTTGACAAAGTACCGTGCCGACATCAGCTGCCACCAGCGAGAGGTGACATTGCATTTGCCAGGAGATGACCGAATCGTGTTTTTCGGAGCCCAGACTAGGACTGTACCCAGAGTTGTATCTAGCATGAAGGCGATGAAGAATCTTCGAAAGAAGGGATGTCAGGGCTACTTAGTGAGTGCCGTCGGGAGCCAGAAGGAGGAGCCGTCTCCCGAGTCAGTGCCGATCGTTTGTGAATACCGCGATGTTTTTCCAGATGAGCTTCCAGGAGGGCCACCGAATAGACAAGTGGAATTCACTATTGACTTGATCCCCGGAGCCGGACCAGTGTCCAAAGCACCATACAGGATGGCACCGAAGGAGCTGCAAGAGCTCAAAACCCAGATTCAGGAGTTGCTCAATCTCGGATTCATCCGGGCGAGCGTCTCGCCATGGGGTACGCCTGTACTTTTCGTGAAGAAGAAGGATGGCACGTTGAGAATGTGCATCGATTACCGAGAGCTGAACCGGTTGACCGTAAAGAACAAGTATCCTCTTCCGAGAATAGAGGACCTCTTTGACCAACTGAGGGGAGCGAGCGTATTTTCGAAGATTGATTTACGATCGGGCTACCATCAGTTGAAAATCAAGGAGGCAGACGTATCAAAGACGGCGTTCAGAACGAGGTATGGTCACTATGAGTTCGTAGTGATGCCGTTCGGGTTGAGTAATGCACCGGCAGTATTTATGGACTTGATGAATCGGGTCTTCCATCCATACTTAGACCGGTTTGTTATCGTTTTCATCGACGACATCCTGGTTTACTCGAGAGACGCCGACCAGCACGCCGAGCATTTGAGGATCGTGCCAGAGACCCTTCGCAAGGAGAGGCTATATGCGAAATTTTCCAAGTGTGAATTCTGGTTGGACCGAGTCGCCTTCCTCGGTCACATTGTTACCGCCAAGGGAATCGAAGTGGATCCCAGCAAGATAGAGGCAGTAAGCAACTGGAATACTCCGAAGAATGCCGGTGAGATTCGAAGTTTCTTGGGTCTTGCTGGTTACTATCGGAGGTTTATTGAGGGCTTCTCGAGAATAGCCCAACCATTGACCCAGTTGACAAAGAAGGAGACCAAGTTCGTGTGGACTTCCCGGTGCGAGCAGAGCTTTCAAGAGTTGAGAGCTAAGTTGACCACCGCACCTGTGTTGACTATTCCCGACCCTACCTTGGACTTCACCATATATAGTGATGCTTCAAACCAAGGATTGGGTTGTGTGTTGATGCAGCAGGGGAAAGTAATAGCTTATGCTTCGAGGCAGCTGAAGCCTCACGAGCAGAACTACCCGACACATGACTTGGAGCTTGCAGCAGTAGTTCATGCATTGAAGATCTGGCGGCACTATCTCTACGGAGGAAAGTGCGAGATTTTCACCGATCATAAGAGCCTGAAGTACATTTTCACGCAGAAGGAGCTCAACATGAGGCAGAGGCGATGGCTCGAGTTAGTCAAGGACTACGACTGCACCATTAGCTATCACCCAGGCAAGGCTAATGTGGTGGGCTCTTTCTTCTTCTGCTTTGATGGATCAATTGGTAGTAGAGCGAATCAGAATGAAAAATGAGGAGCAAATCCAAGACTTGAAGCTGACGCATTGAGTCGGAAGGGTCGTGGTGGACTGGTTTGTATGTTTACCAAACAAGAGGAGTTGATCAGAGAGTTCAGTAGACTCGAGTTAGACTCGGTGGAGCAGTTTCCGAGAGTCAGTGGAGTCCTAGCATCCTTGGTTGTGACACCGACCCTTCGAGAGAGGATCGTGGCAGAACAACCAAAGGATAGATATTTGTGCCGGATGAGAGAGCTATCTCAGGCTGGCCGGATCGGAGGTTTTGCGGTAGCACCTGATGGAGCCTTAGTCTTCGAGCAGCGACTTTGTGTTCCGAGAGTGCCAGCTATCCGTAGAGAGATCTTAGAGGAGGCCCATAACACCCTGTACTCTATTCATCCAGGGAGTACGAAGATGTACCAAGATCTGAAAAGGTCTTTCTGGTGGAGAGGTCTCAAGAGAGATGTAGCGAGATTCGTCGATCACTACTTGGTGTGTCAGAGAGTCAAGGCCGAACATCAAAGACCGTTGGGTTTGACGCATCCACTCGAGATTCCCGAGTGGAAGTGGGAGAATGTCACGATGGACTTTGTAGTAGGTCTTTTGAAGACGAGGAGTGGGAACGATTCCATCTGGGTTATCGTGGATTGTTTGACTAAGACTGCACACTTTTTGCCAGTGAAGACGACTATGAAACTGAAGGAGTATGCCAAGCTATATATTCGAGAGATAGTCCGACTCCATGGAGTACCCGTGTCGATCGTATCAGACCGAGACACACGGTTTACTGCACGGTTTTGGATTTGCCTGCACAGAGCTATGGGTACGAGACTTCATTTCAGCACCGCTTACCATCCCGAGTCAGACGGGCAGTCCGAGAGGACGATTCAGACACTCGAGGACATGTTGAGGGCATGTGTCCTGGATTGAGGTACCTCGTGGGAAGATTCGATGCCATTGGTGGAACTCGCCTATAACAACAGTTATCAGGCGTCCATCAAGATGACACCATACGAGGCTTTGTACGGGCGAAGTGTTCGGACACCGTTGCAGTGGGATGAGGTGGGCGAGAGGATGATTCTCGGTCCCGAGCTTATCAAGAAGGCTTTCGAGCAAGTTCAAGAGATCCGAGCGAGGATCAAGGCAGCACAGGACAGACAAAAGAGATATAAAGACAAGCGTAGGAAGGATCTGGAGTTCGAGGTTGGTTATAAGGTATTTCTGAAGGTCTCACCGATGCGGGGTGTGATCCGGTTCGGGAAGAAAGGGAAGTTGAAACCTCGTTTCATCGGACCCTTCGAGATACTCGAGCGAGTCGGCGACCTTGCCTATCGGTTGGCTCTACCCCCAGAGTTGTCGGGAGTTCATGATGTTTTTCACGTCTCGATGTTGAGACGATATGTTTATGATCCTGGGCACATAGTGAACTTTGATGAGTTTGAGGTCGGGCAGGACTTGACGTACGAGGAAGTACCGGTAGCTATTTTGGATCGAAAGGTCCACAAGTTGAGGAACCGGGAAATAATGCTCGTCAAAGTTCAGTGGAGCCGCCACGATGAGGACGAGGCGACTTGGGAGAGTGAGAGAGAGAGCTACGGATTAAATATCCGAACTTTTTATTTTGAGTTCTTTTATGTTCTATGTAATTTCCGAGGACGGAAATATTTTAAGGAGGTTAGGTTTGTAACGCCTCG